TGGGTAGGGGGCTGGGAGAACTAACTTTACACTCTCGGTACTTCTCCTGTGTGTGTGTGTATGCAACAGTCATGCCTTTCATGTCATAACAATAAGGCCTTACATTTAAGGATACACTACCCTACCATAAAGGATACTCCTGCCTCTCACACTTCCTGCTTCCTTGGCTTCCATGCCCAGGAGCAATGGACTCACCTATCCAGTGACCACTGAGCAGCAACCGCCAGCCAACAGCTCAACTCCAAAAGTTCCTCAAAATCTTAGAGTGTCTATGCATTCAACTCTGATCGCTACACTGCAAAGAGCTGAAAATAGGTGTCCCTAACTGAAGCGCTATGATACTAGAACTAGGGATAGCAGCACTAGTCACAACAGCTAAAAAGTGAAAATGAACCGAACTGACTGGCTAAACCACCAGGGATATACACAGGGACATTAGTCAGCCACCAAAGGGAGTGCAGCACTGACAAGCTACAACACGGTGAGCTTGGAAAACAACGTGTAAAGTGAAAGCTGTCACAGCAATGGCCACGTCATAGGATGCCCTTCATATTTTCAGCATTTCCATATTTTCTTTACTTGAAACAGTGAGAGAGAGACACACACATATAAAAAGATCTTCCCTCCACTGGTTCACTCTTCAAATGCCACGAACAGCAACCAGGCCCAAATGCCCGGAGTCTTGAACTTTTTGTGGGTCTCCCACATGGGTGGCAGGAACCCAAATGCCTGAGCCATCACTGCTGCCTCCCAGGTGCTTTAATTGGAACCTGGGCTGGAAACGGAGCAGCTGTGAAGGTTCAAACCAACACTCTGAGCAGGGCATCCCAAGCAGCAGCTCAATCCTCTGCACTGTGACATCAGGTCCATATGACACCTGTTAGAGGAAAGAGCCAAAAAATCCAAACCCACACAGGCAGAAAGCAGGCTAGCAGTCACCAGGGCTGTGGGTAAGAAGGGAGGACCTCCCTGAAGCAATTTTTTTTATTGGGGAGAAGGTTGCTTTTAGGCGGATGACAATGTTTGGGAACTAGACACAGTGACGGCTGCATAAAAGTGTCAATATCCCAGTTGTCACTGAATTGCACTTTAAAATGACCACAATTGTGTATTTTAGACTTTCACACGGATTTTGCTTTACTTACAAAGCAAAAACGAAGCAAACCTGAAGACACGTAGCCTTGGGCAAGTTACTCAGCCTCTCTGAACCTGTACAACGGGCAGATGACAGACAGCCACAGAGGCTGGTGGCAAGGATTCTAGGAGCATGGCTTTTGGGGGATGCGGAGGGAGGAGCTGACAGCAGCAAAGCTGCAGACACCACAATGATTGCTATGGGACACTGTCAAGAGCAGCTTGCCCGGCGGCCGGTGGCCCCCACAATGTCATGACCCTTCCAACTCGGTAAGAACATAGACTCACCTAGCACAACGGTTCAAGAACTAAATCCTCACCTTGTGAGTGCCAGGATCCCATATGGGCACTGATTTATGTCCTAGCTGCTCCACTTCCCATCCTGTTCCCTGCCTGTGGCCTGGGAAAGTAGAAGAGGATGACTTAAAACTTTGGCCCCCTGCATCCATGTGGGAGATCCAGAAGAAGCTCCTGGCTCCTGGCTTCGGATCAGCTCAGCTCCGGTCATTGCAGCCACTTGGAGAATGAACCAGCAGGCGAAAGAGCTTACTGCCTCTTTCTCTCTGTAAATCTGATCTGCCTTTCCAATAAAAATAAATAAATCTTAAAAAAAAAAAAAAGACAGAAGAGGGCTGATATATAAAATGAATGATCCAAGATGAGGATGACTAGTAATATCTAGAGTATGTATTTATAGCTGCACTGCACTAAAATACATGTATTTAATTTTTTTATTATCTATTAGAGATGGAGTGATAGAGAGATAACATCTGTTGCTTTGTTGCCCAAATATCCACAATGGTCATAGCTGAGCCAAGGCCAAAATCAAGAGCCAGAAAAATCCAGATTTCCCATGTCAGGAGCAGCAGCCCAATCACTTGGGGCATCACCATGACCTTCCAGGCAAACATCAGCAGGAGACTGGAGCCAGGAGTCAAGTCCAGGCATTAAACTCCAGTAATCTGATACAGGATCGTACCTGCTAGGCTAGCCATCTGCCTCTGTAGCATATTCACATTACACTTCTTTCTCTTCTGGGCCAAAGAAGGAGACACAATTAATTAAATCTGGGAGCCTCAGGAGTGGCTTGGCCAGGGTCCAGTGTGGAATGACCTAAAAGCTGTCTCTTTTATCTCCTCCTCCTACGACAAGGGTCCTGGCCAGACTCGTGTTTTACAGAGGGGACTTCACGCAGGTGAGAAAGTCAAATCTTGGGGAGTTGAGGTCAGGGCGAGAACCCTAGCTCTTCTCCCAGAATCATTTGGTGCCAAATGAGCAGAACTCGAGATTTCACAGACAAGGTGACCTCCCTGGAGGCCGACGGTCACTCTGGGAAGCAAGGAGGGGATGAATAGGACCTCAGGCTGCCATGGAAATGTTTCTTCCCCCAGACCAAGCCCGCATATGGCAGGTATCCTGAAATACCCATTCTTGCCATCCAAGGCTGGCTGCTGCCTTCCGGCAGAGGATGAGGGAGTCTGTGTCTGCAACATCCCCTCTCTCTACCATGGCAAGAGCAGCACAAAGGAGTCTCCAGTGCAGGCCTCCCATCCCAGCTCTGCCAACAGATGCTGGGGGAGGGTCTCCACAGCCCTGCAGTAATCTAAGCTCCCAGCCTCCAGCAGGCAGTGATGCAGCCCACAGATCAGAGGGAGCAGTAGGCCAAAGGCCACAGTGCCAAGTTCTCCCACGCCGCCTGAAACACGATGCCCAGCCAGCCTCGGCAGATGGGGGTGTCCTGCAAGCCCTGCCTCTCTTTCCAAGCTGAAGCCAAGAGAGCTAGCTGCCTGTTGCTTTGAGACCCTGAGGCAGCAAACAGGAAGGACGCTGAGCAATAGAACATGAGAAATCCAGATAGTCAAAGGTGAAGAAGAATCCCAGCTTGTGAGGCAAGGGATTACTGTTAAACTGTATTTGAGAGGTGGGGACAGAACAAGGAATGGGGGAGGGAAACAGAGTCTTCCCTATCATTGGTTCACTCCCAAATACCTACAATGGCTAGGCCAAAAGAGAAGCCAGGAGCTATGAATCCAAGAGTTCTTCCATATCACTGTTGTCTTCCAGGGCGTGCATTAGCAGGAGCTGGTTAGCAGGAGATGGAGCCAGGGGGTTGAATCCAGATACTCTGATGTAGGTTATGGATGTGTTAACCACTGGGCTAAACACAAGCCCCCAAGAAAGGGACTAGTAACAGTCAGTACAGGGCTTAAGGGTGGAAAGCAGCACAGAATTCTACAAAGTCTAAAATCATGCCTCTCAAACTGGAGGCTCATGTCATCAGGGCATGTGTCAAGGGCACTTAATGCCATTCAACAGGATAGGTGCCATTTTACCCCAGTGTGAGACCCGAGGATTCAGGATGGGGAATACAGGAAACCAGTACCATGACATATTAGGGGAGGAAACTATATCACTGACCGAGTGTTAAGGATAAACCATCAGATGTTCAAGAATGTCCCAATGATGGGGGGCCACTCTCAGTCTCATGTCTGGGGAATTTCAATTCTTTGTTACAGAGAACCTGATGGGAAAAAAAAGTAGAATCCTGACTCTACAGGAACCAGGAGTTCCTCTGATCTCATTTATTCTATATAGTTATAAGAGGTCTTACTGTGTTCCAAGCTGCTTTCCTCCCTGAAACTCACTGTCTAGTGTAAGTGGTAGATGTGTCTGCAAGGACAGGATGCCGTAGGGTTACATATCAGGGGACCACACCTGCCAAGAGTTTTCTCAGGATATAGTATCTGAGTGATGTTTAACCTGGACCAGATGGGCCGGGAAAGGCAACAGGAAGCAATCCAGGTGGAGAGAGCAGTCTGTATCTATGACAGGAGGAGGCTTGGCCAGGATGGGCAAAAGCCAGAGAGTGAAGAGGACAGAGGTCACAGGGGTGGGAACTGAAGAGGAAAAAAAAAAAGGCAGGCAGTACTATAATTTGCCAAACCTTGCCTTTGATTTTTTTTTAATGACTTACTTCTTTACTTGAAAGTCAGAGTAAAAGAGAAAGAGCGAGAGAAAGGGGTGGGGAGATGGTTGCAACAGTCCATGCTGAGTCAGGTTGCAGCTTCATCCACATGTCCCACATAGGTGGCAGGAGCCCAATGTCTGGGCCATCTTCGACTTTTCCCAGACCATTAGCAGGGAGCTGGACTGCAAGCGGAACATACAGGATTCTGCTCTGATAGGAGTTGGTGTCACAGGAGGCGGTTCTACTTGTGACATCTCAACGCCAGTCCCAAAGGTTGGTCTTTCACCCAAGACTGCTGGTAAACCATGGGACAGTTTGAAGTGGCAGCGTGGCACAGAGAACCGAGTCTGAGTGGCAGCACTTGAACATGGCATTCACACCATCGATGGATGGCCAAAGCTACTCCACTATAACGAGGCCTCTTTGTAAGGTTCACTCTAGACCTGGAGAATACAGAGGGGGTCCTGCAGTCACACTTTAAAGTGACTCTATCTAACAACAGGGAGTGCACGGGTCTTTCTCTTGGTACGTTCAGAGCCGCCAAACCAGCAAGCAAAGACATACAGGCCCAAGAGCACATGTCATGGCAAGGTGCAACTCTGGGTTCAAATGGCACCTGTTACATGTTAGCTGGGCAACCCAACTTATCTTCTCTAGGTGTCAATCAAATGAAGCATTAGCAAAAATGCTTCTCTGTGCAGATTAATTAAGATCAAGCTGCTAAAAGCCTCATCCTTTATTCTGGAACATTGCAGAAGCTAAGAAAAAATGTTGATAATCACGAAAACATAGGTCACATGCAGCATGAGATGAAAACAGAAAGGGTGCAGGACCCCCGAGATGGAAGACGACCCCAGAGATGGCACAGAGCATGGGGAGCAAAGAGGCTTCCACTTACTTGCGAGCAGGAGGCAGGAGATGGCTATGGCGTACAGCTGCTTGGAGGTGGTGACGTTGTAGCGGTCCATGAAGTGGTCCAGCAGGTAGATGGCCAGGTGCCGGGCTGTGGGACACAGCTGGCAGTGGCTGCTCAGCAGAGTCAAGGTATCCACGAAGAACCGGCGGCTCTTCAGCAGCGGGGAGTGGGCTCGGAAGGTGGGCAGCTTCATTTCCTGTGGCACAGGTGGGACAGAGGGCTCAGGGCTGATTCCTCCGAACCTCAGACGCCCTGCGCCATCAGACAGTAAGAGCAGACAATTCCCTCCACCCCCTCACCAATCCTACAAGCGGTGACAAGGCAGCTCCTTCAGCCTGTACTCGGGGCTGTCTCCTGCCTGCCACCAGCAAGCACAGGCTCTGAAGTTGCAGGGACGATTTCAGACTAGTGGAGGAAGGCATATACTTCCCAGCAAAAGATCTGCGTGGGAGACACGTGGGGCCACAAAAAGAGAGAGGCCTCGGGATATGACATCCACTTCCACTCTGTGGGTCAAGGCTCAGCCACGCTGTGGGCCGTGGTCACCTGCCTCTGTGTTTCCTCCTTGACAGCTGAGAATTACATGGAAAAAAAAAGTATACAAATGCCCTACACAAAGCGATCCCTGGGGTCCCACAGCTCATTAACTCTGTGGGCTAGACAATGTTTTTGAACAAAAATCAACCTCAAAAAATTGCAGAAACAAAAGTACAAGAAAAAGGCACAAATATTCTTCTTGATTCGCTGTTGACATTTTTGCCTTCTCTCCTCTACACACACACATACTTTTTTCAGAAAGTAAATTCCAGACATCATTATATTCCCCCTGCAGGAAGCTTCCTTTTTGACATGCAGCCATGCTACCCGAATTTGTCTACTGCAAGAAAAACTGACAAAGGAAATAGCAAAAAAGCAAGTACTTTTATGACAGGAAGGTTCTGCTCAACAGCCGCCATTTCACCATAATTGATTAGAAACTTCTCACTGAGGAATTGTCTTAGCCATATTTTGTGACGGGAAATTAAAGAGAAAAAGCAAAATGGAAAGAAACAGGAAAAAAGTTGGCAGAAACAGAATTGTGAAAGTGGGCTAATGGCAGCTTTATGGGGAGTGAAATGGAAAAACTGGAACAGGACAGGCACGGTGGCACAGCAAGTAAAGATACTGTTGGTGATGCCCCATCCCAATGGGTGCCAGTTCAAGTCCAGCTGCTCCGCTCCCAATCCAGCTCCCTGCTGATGGCCTAGGGAGGCAGCAAAAGATGGCTCCCTTGTTTGGGCCCCTGCAGTACCTACGCAGCAGACAGGAAAGAAGTTCCTGCTTGCTGGCTTCAGACAGCTTCAGCTCTAGCCACTGCAGTGATCCGATGCATGGAAGGTCTCTGTCTCTCCCTCTCTTTGTAATTCTGCCTTTCAAATCAATCAATCAATCAATCAATCACAAGAGCTTAAAAGGAAAAAAACTGGAACTCCTCTTCTGATGTCTGCCTCACTCTCTTTCTAAAAGATTTTAATTTATTTGAAAGGTAGTTAAGGGCCCGGCGCGGTGGCGCAAGTGGTTAAGTCCTCGCCTTGCACGCCCGGGATCCCATATGGGCGCCGGTTCTAATCCCGGCAGCCCCGCTTCCCTTCCAGCTCCCTGCTTGTGGCCTGGGAAAGCAGTCGAGGACGGCCCAAAGCTTTGGGACCCTGCACCCACGTGGGAGACCCGGAAGAGGCTCCTGGCTTCGGATCGGCGTAGTATCGACCCGTTGCGCTCACTTGGGGAGTGAATCATCGGATGGAAGATCTTCCTCTCTGTCTCTCCTCTCTGTATATCCGCCTTTCCAATAACAAAATAATAAAAATAAATCTTTAAAAAAAAAAAAAAAAAAAAAAAAGAAAGGTAGTTAAGAGACAGAGATCTGCTATCCCTTGGTTCAGTCCTCATACTGCTGTAATGCCTAGGGCTGGGTCACCTGGAAGCCAGGAGTCTTCCCTAGTCTACCACATGGGTGCAGGGGTCCAAGGACTTGGAACCAGCACCCATATGGGACACCGGTGCTGCAGGAAGCAGCTTTACTCACTTTACCACAATGCTGGCCTCCATGCCTCTCCCTAACACAGGACTTTACTCAACTAGCAACATTCAAGGATTCAAAGAAGATCAGTTAGTTCACTCATTCACTCACTCAAGAGATTCACTCATTCATTTTACTCAGCAAGTTCTAAGAACCTCTGTACACTTTTGCTATCATTCTAGGCACCAGGCACCTACTCTGGAATAAGAGAGACAGGCCTCAGTATGGGACTTAAAACTATGAAATTGGGCAAGGAAAACAGGAGCAACCTTGGGTGAGCCAATAGTTTCTTGGAAATGACACCAAACCGCCTAGCGCAGTAGCCTAATGGTTAAAGTCCTTGCCTTACATGTGCTGGGATCCCAAATGGCTGCCGGTTCTAATCCTGGCAGCCTCTCTTCCCTTCCAGCTTCCTGCCTGTGGCCTGGGAAAGCAGTGGAGGACAGCCCAAAGCCTTGGGACCCTGCACCTGCGTGGGAGACTCGGAAGAAGCTCCGGGTTTCTGGCTTTGGATTGGCACAGCTCCAGCTGTCGCAGGCGCTTAGGGAGTAAATCAACAGACAGAAGCTCTTCCTCTCTGTCTCTCCTCCTCTCTGAATATATATGACTTTCCAATAAAAATAAAATAAATCTTAAAAAAAAAGACACAAAGAGCTGAGACAACCAAAGTAAACACGAGATGAGATTTCAAAATTAAAAGTGTGAGTGCCTCAGAAGCTGCCGTCAAGAAGTGGAAAGAAGGGCCCGGCGCGGTGGCGCAAGTGGTTAAAGGTCCTCGCCTTGCACGCCCGGGATCCCATATGGGCGCCGGTTCTAATCCCGGCAGCCCCGCTTCCCTTCCGGCTCCCTGCCTGTGGCCTGGGAAAGCAGTCGGGGACAGCCCAAGGCTTTGGGAACCTGCACCCGCGTGGGAGACCCGGAAGAGGCTCCTGGCTTCGGATTGGCATAGTATCGGCCCGTTGCGCTCACTTGGGGAGTGAATCATCGGACGGAGGATCTTCCTCTCTGTCTCTCCTCTCTGTATATCCGCCTTTCCAATGAAAAAATAATAAAAATAAATCTTAAAAAAAAAAAAAAAAAAAAAAGAAGTGGAAAGAAGGGCCACAGAATGGGATTTGCAAACCAGATGTTGATAAGAGACTGCAGCCAGAACACGTAAAGAATTCTTGAAATCTAACAGTAAGAAGACACCCAACGCCACTGAAAGAACTGGACACATGTCTGTACAAAGCAGGTATAAGAAATGGTTTGTAAAGCACATAAAAGGATGCTTAACATTACCAGGTTCCTGCAGTCAAAACCACAGTGAGATGCCACCTCGCGCCCTTTAGGAGGGCTCTCACTAAATGACATCTCATAATGGAGCCCTTGGGGTCAATCACAGGCTCCACTTTGATGCCAGTCCTTGCTGATGCGCACCCTAAAACACAGTAGTCGATGGGCCACGACCTGGACTGAGGTCTGAGTTCCTGGCCTGGGCCCAGCAGCTGCAGGCATTTGGGGGTGAACTACGGATGCAAGATCTCTTTCTATGTCTCTCCTCTCTCTCTTTCACATTAAGATAAATGTTGGTGAGTACGTGGGCCGATTAGAAGCCTGACACACCACTGGTGGGGAACTAAAAAGGTGCAGCCCCTGTGGAAGATGGTTGAGCAGTTCCTCAAAATGAGGTTATTACCACATGACCCAGCAATCCCAACCCTTGGCATAGAGGAAAACACACAGCTGCACAGACTCACGCATGAATATTCATAGCAGCATTATTCATAACGGCCCCCAAGGGGAAACAACTAAAACGTCTGCTGACTGGTGAATGGATAAACAAAATGCAGCGTGAACAAAATGCCGCAGTGGAACATCATGCACGCTGCAGAGGGAAGACACCTTGAAAGCACTGTGCTAAGTGAAAAGAGCCTGTCCTAAAAGGGCATTTAATATCCACTTTCATTCTTACGAAATGTCCAGGAAAGGCAAACCGACACAAGCAGAAGGAAAGCCCAATGGGCTCCTGGAAGTGAGGAATAAGTTACTGTGGAGTGACTGCCAAAAGGTACAGCTTTTCTTCGATGTTTATTTACCTGAAAGAGAGAGGGGAGAGAAGAGGATCTTCCATCCTCTGACTGACTCCCCACATGCCTGGTGCAACAGCCAGGGCTGGACCAGGCAGGAGCCAGCAGCCCAGAACTCCTTCCAGGTGTCTCCAGTGGGAAGCAGGGACGCAAGCACACTGCTGCCTTCCAGGATTCACACCAGCAGCAGGCAAGATCAACAGCTTAACCCTCTGTGCTACAATACCCGTCTCTGCACTTTGTTTCTGAAGGGAAGAAACCATTCTGCAATCAGATCATGTGATGGGTGTGCAACCCTTTGAACACACAGATGGCGGAATCACACCCATTCAAAAAATGAGGCTAGTAGATGTGAATTAATACATTTCGACAAAGACATTATAAAAATCAAGACACATCAATCACGTTCAGGGAGTGCCTAGCCAATTAGGACAAAGACACATTCACAATTCCACACCGGGAAGAACGCCATGAAGGAATGCTGCAGACGCCAAGCAAGCCCCGGCTTCCGGGGAGGGGGCAGCGTGGTGACAGACTGCCTCCCACAGGGCCACAGGGAACCCAGAGGCCAGGACTCAGCTGTCTTTGTAGCCACAGAGCTCTGCTCCTGGAGGGTGCTCAGAGCCTGAATAAATCACTTCCTCTCCCTTATGTTTAAATAGGAAGAAAGTGAGCTTGAAAAAGTCCCCTCACCCCAGGGCTTTATTGAACTAGCAACAGATCTGAGACCAGAAGACTTTCAATGGTTTCTTTCTTCCAACATTTTACTGTATTTTTTAAAGCCACTGGAGATCTTTTATCCCCAGCTTAACTGCATTAAGGATAGACCTGGGGTCTTTGTGTGTTCTTCATCTTCACTCTTTGCTGGATTGATGTGGCCGCCACAGGGCTCACACTCCTTAAGGGCAGGTCTGACTCTGCATTTTACTCCCTGACACCCTGCTGGGACTAGGCACCTGCAGTGGCTGGGTAAGTAGCAGCTGAAGGAGGGAAGGGAGGCAGTCAGGGACAAGGAAGCAAAGAAGGAACACATCGCTGTAGTGCAGACAGGCACCCTGGGCCTATAGA